AAACAAAGAAAGGTGCAGCTAACAGCTATAATAGATATATTAATAATAATAAACTGATCAAATAAGAAAATGAAAAATAAATTGATTTAAAAATAATGAAAATAATATAATAATAACAATGGATATATGAATCAGAAAGTATTATACAGATGCAGATATTCTTTATTGTCATTCGCGCCACATGTGGTACATGTGTGGATCAAAATTATGTCCACAGGGTCCCAATTACATCTAACAATAAAATATAAAAGAAAAACAGTAATAAGATCTAAGATATGAACTAAGAAATACGTCAACTAATAATGTGCTAAGCACTAATAGCATAAAAACAGTAAACACAATACACCGAACAGCAGCACGGACATGAGTCTGTGTGAACAGATGAGCATGAATGTACACAGCAACATGAAACAGATCAGCAGCAACATGAAACAGATCAGCAGCAACATGACGCAGATCAGCAGCAACATGAAGCAGATCAGCAGCAACATGAAACAGATCAGCAGCAACATGATTATCCTGGTTAGATATTCATAAGGCTGCACAAACTCAAGTTCATGTTGCTGTTTGACGTATTGTTTTGATTGTTTACTGCTATTAGTGCTTAGTGTTTTATTAGTAGATGTTTTTAGTTGATATTTTTCTTAGTTCATATCTTAGATCTTATGACTGTTTTTCTTTTACATTTTATTGTTGTCTGTAACTGGGACCCTGTGTACATAATTTCATCCCAATTCAGTATTTATTCAACATTTTATTTTTTTACACTAAAAATAAAATAAAAGCAAGTCCTTATCAGCACAAATAAAATGATGTGGAACATGTTGCATCTGTTCTTACCGAGCACAGAAGGCTGCAGCGTTGTGTTGCTCTGTGAGGTGCAGCTGGGCTGCGAGCCTGCGATGGAGCTCTGTCAGGTGCAGACTCCGCTGATGGAGCAGGAGCAGAAGCTGGGAGGCTTGGAGGGTTTAATGTGGAGTTGAGAGATGAACCGCCACGCGCTGAAATACGTTCTGGATAAAATAAAGTGAGAAACGGGACCAGAGGACAGTTAGCGTTTATGCAAATTAGCTTAGCATCGTAGCACCGACGTTGTCCTATTATGGCATCAGCCTCTTTTGTTAGTTAAAAATATGTTCAGAACCTATGGGATGAGTCACTTAAAATATGTTTAAAGTTAGAAAACACTCACCATCTTCTATAAATGATTCAAGTAGAGCAGTGGCCGTGTCCAAACCACCCTCCAATCGCTCCATCTAGCTCGCTTTGACTTTTTTCGTCGGCCACCAAGCACAACAAGACCTGCACTTCTGCATTTGACCACGGCTTTGATATTATTGTTTTTGTATAGCTTCAAAATACTAAATGATAAGCTCCTCGAGTTATCGCTAATGGCAAGCGGTAGAGAAAAAATGGCAGATCGGGTTATTTGGAAAGACTCCACAGACTCCTCCCCCTGACCAATCAGTGACCGACAGTGTTTCTGACGTCACAGCTCGGCTCGGCTCGGCTCGCTTGGACCCCTTGAGAAGCCGGGCCAGAATTTAGGGAGGCAAGCCAGTTCCAGGAACAGTGGAAAGACCTCAAACGTGCGTAAAGCCGGAAATATCCAACCCGCGTCGTGATAGTGGAAAAGGGGCAATAGTAAGTCCAAAGTGTGGCCCTTTATGTGGAAGCCACAGCTGTCAAGGCAGGATGTGAAGTCTCTGGTGAGGGGGTTGTTGTCTTCATCTTTATGAATGTTGAGGTCTTCAAGTAGAATAATGTTGGGTGAAAGAGCTGAGAGATGGGTGATTAGAGCAGTACAGTCATTTATAAAAGAGTTGTTAATTTTGGGCGGGCGGTAGAAAG